AGAATGCCCCTGCTCCTGCAATGCAGGAGGGCACAGCACCAATCTGTGCCCTGCTGCAGCCTGTGCCCCACTGCTCCACTCCCCCAGGGCTGGCAGCAGTGGCATAGCTGGGCCAAGAGTTTGGGGAGATTTCCGTCTGCAGCGTGGGCAGGGAACAAACACGGCTGCTGGCAGCAGGGCTGGCATGGCAGGGACAGCAGAGCAGGGCTCCCTCCTTCTTCCCAAGCCTCTCCAGCTTGGTGCCCAGGGTCTGGCCCTTCCCAGCAGTGGCAGAGCTGGGCCAAGAGTTTGGGGAGATTTCCCTCTGCAGCGCGGGCAGAGAACAAACATGGATGCTGGCATGGCAAGGACAGCAGAGCAGGGCTCCCTCCTTCTTCCCAAGCCTCTCCTGCTCCTGACGCTCTCCCAGCCCCACGGGGAGCCCACACAAGACCCTGGAGCTGGGGGGACTGTCCCAGTGGGGTCCCAGCCAACAGTGGGGCCAGAGGTCCCAGAGTGGGGGCACCTGCAGGGAGGGCCAGGGCAGGCAACAGCAGCACCTGCCTGTGTGGGTTCTGCCATGTGTTTGGGAAGTCTTAACACTCAGTTGCCATTTCTGCTGTCAGCCCCAGCCTGTTATTTCTGGCACTAATTATGTTCTGGCGTTTGACAGCTAATGACTCTTCCCCGCTTCCTCATCAGCCTCCCCCACTCTGCTTGCTCCCTACCACACAGCTCTGCAGCCCACCCACCCACAGCCTGCCCCGGTACAGGAAGCCCTGAGCCCCCCAGGACGTGCCAGAGCCGTGGTGGAGCTGGGGCTGCCCTCCAGGACCCACCTGCCTGCTGTGCCTGGATCAGCTTCCCGTACACGGCGTCGGCAGACTCGATCAGGGTCCTGCTGGTCTGGATCATCTGGGGAGAGGGGAAATGTGAGCAGCTGTGCAGCCCTGGCCCTGTGTCCCCTGGCCAGGTGGATGGGGACACAGGGCTCAGCAGGGGATGCCCCCCTGCACCAGCACAGTGCCCGGGGTCTGGCCCTTCCCACCCCACGGGTATGGTGTGAGCAGCACGTGGCCAATGGCCAGGTTCCCTTCAACACAAAAGAAGGAAGCAGCTCTGGCTGTGGCTATTAATGGGATTTCTCCCACCTAGTGGGATCCGGGTGAGGCACAAGCAGTGCAGACACAGGGCTGTAGTGTCCCAGGGTCAGACTGCTCAGGGCAAGCCTGTGCCTTGGCAAGATTCCTTCCTGGGCAGCCACCATGCAGCCCCCTGCCCCAGGATGGGTACAGGGAGTTCAGGGTTCCCCATCCTTGGACCTTGTGATCCATCCCACAAAACCTGCCTGGGTTCATCCCACAAAACCTGCCTGGGGTCATCCCACGAAAACTACTCAGGTTTGCCCCACAAAAACTACTCAGGTTCACCCCACAAAACCTGCCTGGGTTCATCCCACAAAAACTACTCAGGTTCACCCCACAAAACTTGCCTGGGTTCATCCCATAAAATCTGCCTGGGTTCATCCCATAAAGCCTACTCAGGTTCATCCCATAGAACCTGCAGCAGCAGTGGGTGCTGGTCCCAGTGCCAGTGATGCCAGGGAGTGTCCCCAAGGGGCCAGGCCCTGGCAGGGTGGCACTTACCGTCTCGTAGGCGGTGAGGACCTTGCGCAGCAGGTCGGGGATGGGCCCCTGGGCCTCCATGGGTGGGTACTGCTCTGCCAGGTTCAGGGTGACGCTGGGCGCGCTGTCACTGTGCAGCAGCCACGTGGACACCGTCAGGATGCACTGCTTCATGTTGGCAGCGGGTGTCAGCCCACACAGCTCCTTGAAGGACACCAATGCATTCTGCAGAGAGCAGTGCCCAGTGTCAGGAGTGCAGCTGGGAGGACCCCCAGGAACACCCCCCATTTCCCACAGCTCTCTGCTCCTCATCCTCTCTCACATCCCCCAGGAAAAGGGGGACAGCCCCATCCTCCCCTGAAGAACCCAAGTCCCCCATTGCCTCTGCAGGGTCCTACCTGCACATTCTCCCGCAGGTCCGTGGCCTCCCGCAGCGGCTGGGTGGCCGTCCTGAAGACCTCATCGATGGCTTTGATGCCGGTGGCCTTGGTGGAGGTGTACTCCCTGACCCGGCGGCCCCGGCGCCCCGCCAGCCCCCGGCGGTGCCCCTTGCCCCCGCCACGGCGGTCGGTGATGGCCACGTGCACAAAGAGGGTGGCGTGGGGCAGGGGCTCCCCGGCCAGCGACTGCAGGGGGACGTGGCGGTAGCCGGGCTGCAGGCACTCGAAGGGGATGGTGTACTGGGCAATGAACTCATCCCCGATGTAGTCGTCGTCCAGCACCACAAAGCGCAGCACGGCCAGCTCGGGCAAGTTGATCTGGAACTCCAGGCTCTCGTCGAAGATGGGGTTGTCCCCGCTCTGCAGGGCGGTCTTGGTGCGGTGCTCGGCGCAGTCAGCCGGGATGCCATGGATTTCAGCGCACACGTAGGGTTCCACCACCTCCCCCTTGGCGCCCGAGCCCTTGGGCTTGGGGAGGTTCTGCCCGCTGATGACCTTGAGGTGTAGAAGCTGGGCTGGCACGCCGGGCAGGGAGTCCTTGGCGTTGGCACTGAAGTAGGAGACCTCCTCCCGCATGATGGCCGGGCGGAGGACGTAGCCACAGGCGCCGTTCTGCCGGAACCAGCCTGCATTCAGGTCCATCATGAGCCCTGGCGTCTGGTAGTTCATGGCCACCATCTGGCAGCCGCACTTCCAGAAGTCCTGGGGGTTCATGTTGCTGGCGTCGATGCGCATGGGGCTGGGGTAGACGCGGGACAGGAAGCGCTTGTTGTAGCTGACCAGCTCGGCCGGACACTCGTTGGCGAAGCGTCCCGCCTCCACCTCACTGAAGGAGCACATCTCCCAGTAGCGCTGCCCGCGCCTGGAGCTCTCAAAGTCCTGGAAGGGCACAGCCTGGCAGAGGCTCACCAGCTCCGAGAGCTCGCGGCTGAGGCGCACCCGCCGCAGGCCGCCTCCCTCTGGTGCCTCCCGGTCCTCCTGGCCCAGTCTCCGCGCCAACTCCCAGCCTTCCTCCTCGTCCGACACCTCGCCCTCGCTGTCCTCGCAGGTGGGCGGCAGCTTCTTGCCCTTGATGAGGATGCGGCCCTTGAGCTCCTCCGGGGAGGGCAGGTACGAGGCCACGGGGTTGGGGGGTTCCAGGTACAGCTTCTCGCCGAGGGTCTTGCGCAGGCACTGGGCAGCGAGGCGCTGCTGGGGGGCTGAGCAGCGCACCACCAGGCACAGGATCAGGGGGTAGGCCGAGGCAGTGAAGGCGTGCTGGTCGATCAGCCCCACCACGGCACGGAAGGGCACGCAGGAGGCGGCCGAGGGGCTGGTGTAGACCACGGGCTCACCATCGGGGCCGTCCCACAGCACCAGCTCGATGCTGCGGCAGCCCAGGCCCAGGGCGCTGATGTAGCCACTGATGTCTGAGCGGCCCCAGAAGTTGTCCTCCAGCAGGCAGGCGCTGTGGGCAGAGCTGATGTAGTAGTGGGAGAGGGGCTGGGCCATGTCCTGGCAGACCTTGCGGTGCTGGGGGTCAAAGATGGAGCAGTCAGCAGAGAGCAGGTATCGTGTGAAGCCGTCAATGGCCAGGTAGCCCTTCTCCCGGCCCTCCTTGGAGGGCTCGTACTTGCTGACGATCTCCAAGCACTTCTCCTCTGTCACCCCCTCCATGCCCTGCTCCACCTCCAGGAACATCAGCAGGTCCTTCACACCCAGGTATTCCTTGTTGCTGGAGAACTGGACCAGCAGGAAGAAGATCTCAGGGCGCGTGCAGAGCTCGCAATATGCCTCCACAAAGAGGTCGCAGGCCACCTCCGTGCCAGGACGCTCGCTGGCCTTCTGCAGCTCCTTGAACTTCAGCTCGATGGTGGAGGTCTTCATGCCAGGGTTGAGTGCTTTGATCAGCTGCACAGCCCGGGACACGGGGATGCGGCCAGACTTCTCCAGGTCAGCCAGGTCAAAGACAGAGGAGATCCAGGACGTCCGGAGGCTGGGGTGGCCGGTTCCAGGTGCCTCAGGGCTGTGCTTCCCGTAGGACACCAGATAGCGCAGCCCCATCACCCAGGCACTCACCACATCTGCCGAGCTGGCCACCAGGTCCAGGGACTCGTAGTTGTCCCCGTAGATGATGGAGAAAGCGCACTCATCGGGGAACTGATCAGAGAGCCCATTGCTGCGCAGGACTGGCGTCTTCTTGCCCACCCTCACCTCTTTGACTGATTTGATCTCAATCTTGGCCTTCTCAGAGTCCTTCTTGGAGGGCTCCCAGCGCACGGAGCGCATGTCGGCGTCCAGCACGAAGAAGCGGCTGTACATGCGCGAGTTGGAGCGCACCTTCTTCAGCTCGCAGCCCTCCAGCATCAGGGAGATGCAGGCAGCTGTGCTGTTGATCTTGCGGTCATTGGGCATGGAGCTGAAGGACACAGTCTTCTTCTTGTGTGGGGGCCTCTGCCGAGAGCCGTCCTGCCAGGGTGGGAAAGGGGCAGAGCCATCAGTCAGGGACAGCCAGGCAGCAGCACTGCCCCATCTGCCCCTGGCATCCTCCTGCCCATGGTGCCCCCACCCCAGCACTGCCC